TCCTTGGAATTTTGGGTATAAGTTAGAGTCCAAAAGTTATCCTCACTATTATTAATTTCTTTTGGTTGGTTGTGAGGCTTGAACTCAGGACTTGAATGTTATCCCTGAGCTTTTATTTGCTCAAGGCTGATGTGATACCACTTTGAGCCACAGCTCTACTTCCTGTTTTCTGGTGGTTAATTGGAGATAGGAGTCTCACAGACTTTCCTGCCTGAGCTGGCTTCAAATTGTGATCTTCAGATCTCAGCCTACTGAGTAGCTAGGATTCCAGGCATGAGCCACTGGTGCCTGGGTCTTTCTTAACTTTTTAATCTGTTTAGATTGGTTAGAAGAGTCCAGTGTCCCTGAATGGGGTTAATTTCCTTCCGAAACTGAAGCCTGGAAATGATCCAAGTCTGCCAAAGTCTCAGAAACCCTTAATTCAGTCTTGAAAACCATGTTTAATCTAACAGAACTCTCTAATAGGACTCACAAGCTGCAAGACAAACCCTACCCTCCAGGACCGCAATCCAAGGTACCTCTGCAGACCTCGTGTATGGATTGTAGAGGTTCTCTGTAGTCTGAGCCAGGGAGGTGAGTGACGGATGGGGAAAGTCCTAATTCCCATGTGGCTAATTTACTGGCCAATCTACCTTTCTGGAACCCACAACTCATGGGGATAATATATAGGGACCTCCTAGCGAATGACAGACACTGGAAACATACCCTACTTCGGGGAGAGCAGGAATCTCTGTCTCTGTGTCCATCAGACTGTCCTCCACCGGAGGACAGCCTTGAAACAGCTCTCTCTTCCTTGTGAACATGCCAGCAGCTTCTTCACCAGGTGTGGAGTGGATTTTATTTCTGGCTCATCTGACTTTAAACAAACCTCTTGACTTCCATTTCCTCCGGAGCACTTCAGCTCTGAAGATGAGCTCCACTAAATAGTACTGACTTCAAGGGAGCCGTCAAGCACACACTTGGGTGGCTGTGTACGTCGGCCCTCTTCTTTCGCCTCTTGAAATGGAATTGCTATGGTCTGAAAATACCCTGCTTTCTACCTCAGAGCCAGCGGAAAAAGTGCCCTGGGAAGAGTTCTGAGCTGCAGCCGCTCTGCAGGCTGTGCAGGCTGGTGCTCGTAGGGAGGGTCAGTACTGCAGTCATGTGCACCCCTAGGTCTACTGCAACTGCTCTATTTTCCATCCCATAAATTTCATGAGCACAGTGGTACCCACGTGTCCAGCTACCACAATTAACATTTTGAGACTTCGATACCTTTTATGGTTTTTCTACTCGTGAGCCCTTAAACCAGACATGAAATTTAAGATTGAGTTTCTCCACAGCTTCAGCCTCTACCCTGAATATCAGAGGGAATAGCATCTACTGTGCCGCACCCCCACCCCGATGAGAGAGCCTAGAAGCTCTCAGGGCTCTTTGGCTCATGAATAACTGTGCTGATTACTGTATGCACTGCAGGTAATAACCCCTCTTTAACCTAACCAGGACACCAGGCCAGGCTGTGCACCAGTCGTATAAACTATCTCAGCCTGAGGCTGTAGCACCTGCCAAAGACACTCCCTTTGTTAACATTCAAGGTCAAACTGCAGCAGTCTGCACGCGGAGGCCATCTGTGCTGGCCAGGTCTGGGCCTTCGGCCCTCTCTCTTCAGAAAGTCATCTGGGGTTAGAAACACAAAGTCAAAAATACCTAATGACTAATGCTTAAGGACTCAGTATGTGCCCCGTAGTTAAAAGCTAATTATACACAGCAAACCTTACTTGGCCTCATGCAGATGCCACAAATCACCGATGTCAAACTCTCTCCCCAGATGCTAGGCCTAAGGATATACCAGGGGTCTTATTCATTACACCTGCAATTGGCTTTCCAAAGTCACTTGTCTCTTGCCTTGTTTCCCAGTGCACTAGGTGATTGTGCAGAATATGGATCGAAATACACATATACAAACATATAAATATAGAGAGAGACACACATATATACACACACACACAGATATATTTCCTTTTTTTCTTTTAAAAAGATTTTTATCATAGGAGACATCAGGACACTGCATCCTTAATAGATTGTAAATGCCTCATCTATATTTGCTCACATAAAGCTATAAAATGAATCAATTGGTTTCTAGGTTAATATGTAATACATAAACCGTTGAGTCAATATTGGTACTATTTAGCATTAGTCACTGCTCATTACCTGCAAAAGAAAAAAAGACCCTCAAAATTATTTCATCCACATGAAGAATTTAATCATTCATGGAACCGAAAAATCCTAGTAGAGACAAACACTGAAGAAATCATGACTGGTGATAGCTCTCCTTGGACCTGTTTTGTTCCCGTCCACCACCCAAATCGCACTTTGTGTTTAGCTTTCCTCAGCCTGGCAGACATATTTGGCTAGCTAACTGACCATGTTGCATACCCAGAGAAAATGGTGGATACGTGGAGACTCCAGTGGAGGATAGGGAAGATATGTCCCATGGGAGGATATGGGCTCTGCTCCACGGGCTCTTGAACGACATGCCTCCAGGTTTCATTCATTACTGATGCTCACTTCCTTCCCTGGGGCATGTCATGGTTCTGACCACCCCAAAGGCAGAGGTACTTACCCAGCAGCCCTCACACGCCCACCAAAGTCTCCCATCCTGCCGAGCCATTGTTCAGGAATGGGAAGACAGCTACAATTTTCCCAAGACACAGCAGGTTCTACAGAACGAAGAGCCTAACAATTCAAGGGCAGAAGGGGCTATCTGGGCTGGCTGTTGCAGAGGGTTCCTCCCGCTGAAGAGAGAGAACCTTGGTAGAAGGGGCTGGAGGAGCAGAGCTGCTCATCTTGTGGCAGTTCAAAAGCAAAGGGAGAGAAGGTAGGGGAGAAAGGAGATGGACAGAGAAAGAAGGGGTGAGAAGCCCAAGACAAGATCTAGCTAGCTTCCTAAGCAATAGGAGTCCAGCTGGCCTGCTGCTGGTATGCACAAATGTCCACCAGCTTTTCTTCCACTGATCATTTGTGATTTCTTCCCTATTTAAACAAAAGTCGCCCTTTGGGATCAGTGTGTTCAAATTTCTACTCTGCTTTCTTTTGAGCATTCAATGTGGATTTCTGCTACAAGCAGTTCCTGCTTCTGGAGTGATCGCCCAAGATTATGCTATGTCTATTGGTTCACTGAGAAGGGACATTCATGACTTTTCCATGAGAAGAGTCTTTAAAAGACAAAAACATGGGTATTAGCATTTGATAGCTAAATGAAACAGTATGTGAGAAGAAATGGACTGGAAAGACAAATTCAGGTTTATTTAATAGAGATTAGCGGAGGAAATAGGAAGGATTAAAGAAATTAATCTTAAAAATGGCTCCAGAGATGTTGAACCGACACTTGCAATAAAAACAACAGCAAGTTCAGTTGAAGCCTGAACTGAAATGTCAGTTGGTCATATATTTGATCTCATGATTTATTTCTATTCACCCTTTATCCTGCTGGAGCAGGAAAGGACCCTATTCTGAGGCTTCTGGGGGAGGGGCACCAAGGAGTTTGATTAATTAGGGGACCACGCAGGAGGAGGTGGGCAGGACAGGGCAGGGCAGGGCAGGGCAGGGCAGGGCAGGGCAGGGAAGGGGAGGGCAGGGCAGGGCTGGGCAGGGCAGGGCTGGGCAGGGCAGGGCAGGGAAGGGAAGGAAGGAAAAGGAAGAAAGGGGAACTGAATGTTTTTGAGGAAATGATGAAAAGTGATTAGCCAAGAAAAACAAATACTCTGCACTGCTGGAAAGGCTGGGGTACCTATATAATTCTATCATCCTGGAAATCTAAAGTAAGAGCATTTGTCAAAAGGGACAATATTTTGCACACTTAAATATTTCTTATTAACCCCATTAACTACTTCAGTGGAAGTAAGAGCAACCTGTTCTACATGAAAAGTCTTTCGAATGCATTGATACCTTGAACTCTTACATAATTGAAAGCAATTAAGTTGGCATAAAAAAGCCACTGTCTAGCCTGGCACCAGTGACTCACGCCTGTAATCCTAGCTACTCAGGAGGCTGAGATCTGAGGATTGAAGTTCAAAGCCAGCCGGGGCAGGAAAGTCCGTGAAACTCTTATCTCCAATAAACCACTTATGAAACCGGAAGTGGCGTTGTGGCTCAAATGGTAGAGCACTAGCCTTGAGCTGAAGAGCTGAGGGACAGCGCCCAGGCCCAGATTCAAGCCCCACAACTGACAAAAACAAAAAACCAAAAAAAAGCCACTGTCATATAAGAGTTTGGCTGGAAATGGATGAAATAAACTCTGAATTGTCTAATTATTTAATGTATTTTGGTTAATTCATTGACTAGTGAAATAAATGACAGGTAACAAAACTGACTTCAAAAGTTCACATTAACATAGACCTTCAAGGTGTTCTCAAAAGTCTACAATTGCCTGGTGTCTGCTGGTCAGGCTCTCAGACAGAGCACTGTCTAGTCCCTGTCCTTCTATAAAGAAGACTAAATATTAAATCAACGGTTTGTGTCTTATCTATAACACAGCAGTTCCATATCCCAATTATCAGTTTTATGGTACAAATTGCAATCTAGCTACTATAATTATTTCATTTGCTTCTACTGTGATCTTCATAACCGTTTTGTACTAGTGAGTGCTGCTACTTATAGGTTCCAGATTCAGCTAAAATAAAGGCCCAACGTTAACGTGTTCTTCATTAGGCTAATGGGAATTGGCCGCAAACTTATGTCCTCTTAGAAGATACCAAAATGGTTTTTAGCAAATTAGGTTCGAAGTATCCTTGTGAGCCTGGCGCAGCCGTTTTAAAGCACACAGTTGTTAGACATGGCCCTGAAGCCCTGCTGGTAAATCAATAGCCTAACAATTTTATTTTCTGTCTTTTATCCCCAAGTATTGAAGTGCTGTCCTTAAGAAAGAACCTTCGGAGAGGCCATTCTTTCAGACCTGCAGAGCAGAGGCCTGTATTATTGATCTATTTATTAAGAGAGAGATAAGACCTAAAAACGGTGAATATCGAGCTTACCTTTTATTTTCTGTGCTCAGTGAACATGAACAAAATAGAATAAAACCACAGTAGCAAACCTCATTCCTTACATTAAATATAACTTGCCCTTTTCCGTGGCTACTATAATTACACTACAGTTGTGATAGACAAGATGCCAATGAATAATTACTGCATTATGTATGAAAGACAATTGAAAAATTACTGGATATGGAATCCAACGGCTGGGTTGGGATTTTCCTTGTGTGGCTGCCAATAGACTGCTTTCTTTTCCTGAGCTTCATTTTAAAATTGTCCTGAAAAATCAGATGAGGTCATCCTGCAAAGTGTCTGCCGTTTAGTCTGACAAATGCTCAACAATCATTGGTGCACTCTGTGGGAGAGAGAAGTTTGAAGCAGATTCTTCCTGTTGCTCTGTAGCCCATGTGTAACAACCCTGGTGTCTACATGCCAATGACATATTCTCTGATGCCACACGTAGGCTGTACTTCCAACTCCACCTGACCATGTTAAAAAAAGAGGGAGAGTGTGAATTTCTTTGTTTTCTTACTGTAATGTCTAAAGTCACCATTCACGTAGAAAGATGCTATTTTCTTTATTAATGATGTCCCAACAAATAAAATGTTAAAAATAAATTGCTGGGAAAGATAGTGCAAAATGAAACTTAGCAGGTGGAAGATCAAGTAGAATCAAGCTCTTGACCACGTCATAAAAATGGTTTGACCTAATAGGTTGGAGGCAAATAGAGGTACATTATTTGGGACATGCAAATGTGCATGCATACATACACAATCATATATATATATATATATATATATATATATATATATATATACATCCTTCTTTCCAGTGTCCTTTTAGAAATGTCATGAATAAATAAATAGATTTTTCCATTTAAAAATGACATCTTTTTTCTCCCTTAGAGATGTGCTGGGTTTTGAACTTATGGCCTTATGTTCTCTAAGTAGATGTTATACCACTTGAGTCATACCCCAGCCCTAAATTCAAATTTTGAGTCAGAAATTAGAAACAAAATAGCAGCTCACATATGAGTGGAGAGAGTTTAAAGTTCATAGCCACGTGGGAACTGGCAAAGCTAGCTACTGCTGCATTTCGTGGCCAACGGAGTGTGATGGCTTCTATCACATCTTCGTGATTAACTCAGTCAAAACCTTCCTGTAATTATTTTTTATCATTGTTTGTTTCTTTGTTTGTGCAACTACTATCAGACAGCAAAGTCCTTTTCTATTCCAAAGCTTTGCCAGGTGACTTGCAGTGAAATACGTTCTGTCAGGTCTCCTAACAAATCCTTATGGAGCCTCCAGGGCCCAGGTCCACATCCTGCAGTGGGTGTTTCTTTTCTCCCTTCTTCCTATTCCTACCAACAAAGTGTCCCTGCTAGGTGACCCAGCAGTCTTCAGAATATTAAAACTGAAGATCTGTCTGCGAGCTCCCTGAAGTTGGGGACCTTGAAGTCCTGTCCCATAGCACTATGCCAGCACACAGAGCACACATGAAGCAAGTTCGGTTGGTGTCATGATCATGAGTTTCTGCATTCGCTGTGGTTTCTGGGAGAGAAAAAGCACACATGAACCCACGACAGGTGTTACATGAACAGCCATGGGCTGAGTTTATACATACAGACTTTCATACATACAAGCTCTCAGATACTCTTACACTTGTACCTGTGAGTTTGACTCCATATTTGGTTTTCTGATCTGCAAAACAAAAATAATGACGACCTGTCCTCCCTACCTAACGGAAGCAATCAGGACCCTTTCTCTGCCCAAGCAGACAAGGGAAAGATGACTTCTGACTTAATTAGAGCTCATTTTTTTTTCTGACAGAGTTCTTTCCTAATGTACACAATTATTACCATGAGTACTCTACAAAACACACATGGAAAATATCAGTTATTTTTAGTAATTATTTAGTAATAATATGTAAAATGCATAGAGGAAAGTGAAAAAATGCTAGAAAAAATACAACTTCTAGGTAAAAATGTCTTGTACTTAATAGAATCATGTCTCCTTTATATGACAGACATCTTCTTTTGCTAATTATTGCAACTAATTTAATGGAGCACAGTAGGACAATTTAATACATGTATAAAATGGGTGATCATCAATTCAGGATTAATATGCCATTTTTAATATTCTAAAATTGTATTGTTAACACATAATGATCACAGACATTTGTGGTTGCATTGTGATTCTTCAACACATGAGTATAGTATGCATGGATCAAATCTGGCTAACGAGTGTTTCCAAGACCTCATCATTACTTTGTTTGGAGCCTTTAAACTTCTCTTTTCGATAGTTGCTCATAAAATGTTTTCTGTCCATTATTCTCCAGGTCACTAGGACTTATTGCTTCCGTCTATATGCAGAGATCCATGAACAAATCTCCTACCAGCACCCAAACCCACCGTTTCTGTCCCAAATAATCACTAGTGCACAATCTGACCTGTTAAAATTGTCCTCACCTGAAAGAACATGTGGGACTTGTCTTTGTACACCTGAGTCACACCCTGGGCATTCTGCTTCTTCCATCTATTTTCCTGCAAATGATTACATGTCATTTTATCATCAAAGAGTATTCCGCTGGGCATATAATTCATTCTGTATCAAGTCTTCTGTGCATGGACATTGAGGTTGGTTTGATATTTTAGCTATTAAGAACAGCACAATGACAAAATCAAGAATTGGAGTGTTTCTGCTGTACTATTTTCACCTCTTTGGATCGATACCCAGCAAGGTGGAAGCTGGATAGCAGTTTGGTTTTAGGCTTCGTTTCTTGAGGAACTCTGTTTCTGCATGATGGCTGTGCCAGGGAGTTCTCTCCATATCCTTGCCAGTGTTTGCTATTTTGGTCCTTTGTATGATAGTCATTCTAACTAGGGCGAGATGCTATTACATTGTGATTTTTTACATATATTTCCCAATCACCGAGGAAACTGCACATTTTACATATTTTACATATATCTGCTGATCACCTGAATTGCTTATATTGGGAAATATCTATTTATAGAAAGTAGAAGATAGAGCATTTCTAGGATGTTTTTTTGGGGTAGAGCTAGGATAACAAGATACACTTGACTTCTTTATAAAGAAAACTGAAATGTTCAAAACCAATTTTACATATTCAAATTAAGGTACAGCTCATCTCTCAAAAGTACTACAAATAAAATAACTTGAAGTACAACTAATAGTATTTCATCCAAGACTCCAGAATTAGAAGAAAATATTCTTTCAAGAAGAAAAATCATTCCATTTTATGTGTCATAAGGAGACAATATTGATTTACCTTTGTAATGATTTACCTTTATTTTTTTCTTGACTTAGAATGCAATACAAGGAAGGATAACTAATGTATTTGTATTTACTTAACTTTTATCTCTGAAGAATGGGGTGATTGCCACTGAGGTAGGATTGCACCTACTTCCCTTACAAGGAGAATCGGTTCTGTTCTGGGAACCCAGAGAAAGATTTATTACAGTGCTCAAACATTAGAACCATTATTTGCAAGTTTTCAAAATTAAATTCAAAGACATAAAACACAGAACAAAAGCAGGGCAAATATACTATAAAGTGTTTTTAAAAAAATAATTATACACAGAGTTTCAGTAGTCAGTACCCATGAGGAAAAGATGCACTTTACTAATTGTCTTCTCCTATGTTGAATGCTATCCTGTGAGAGAGTGTGTGTTGTTTCACCTTCTAGTAGTAACAAAGTCTTCACTAATAAAAGATCAATTCAACTCAGGAAGAAGTCATCAAAGCACAGGAAATCCACACAAAAATACACAGGTGGGATTCGAGCAAAACGTCTCCACAGCACAGGAAATCACCAGGAAGAAAACGTGACTTAGAGAATGGGAGAAAGCTGCACGTCAACACTGGGTTGATACCCAGGACAAAAAAGAAAAAACTGAACAGCAAAAAAACAAAACAGATCACAACAAAAAAAACCCACATACTTTTTAAATGGCCAGTGGACCCTAAATAAGCATTTCTCAAAAGCACACTTAACAAAGACCAACAATACATGAAAAATGTACAACATGTATAATCATGAGGGAAATGAAAAATAAAAAGTACAACATATTGCCTCAGTCTGGTAAAAAATGGGTATTTTATTATTAAAAGAGAAATGATAACAAGAGTTGGCAAAATGGAACGCTTCTATAGTCATTATGAAAAACAGTACTGAGATTTCTCAAAATATTAAAAACACAAGTACACAGGATGCAGCACTTCCACTGCTAATATATATATATATATATATATATAAACAAAACAAGAGTGTTGAAAGAATTTTAAAATTCCCATGTTTATTGCAGCACTAGTCCCACTAACCAAGAAATAAAAACAACTGTCTACCAACTGATGAATGAACCAAGAAAATGAGGTAAACACACACAATGAATTGCTCTATAGTCCCTCTGTCATTAGCGGTGACATGGACATGACTGGAGATCATTATATTGGGTACCACAGACACAGAAAGACAATTCCTACATGATTTCATTTATGTATAGAATCTAAGCTAGGAGAATAGCTGTTGTGTTACAGAGGTTGGGGGTGGGGAGGAACGGGGAAAGGTAGATGGGTACTAAGTTCCAGTTAGATGGGAGAAGAAGGTTCTGTGTTAATGCAGTGCAGAGTGACTAAAGATGAAGAGAACTTGTACATTTCAAAGCGTGGGAAGAGAGGATCTTGAATGTTTGAACAATGAATGCTCAAGGAGATGAATAGGTGTAACCTGATGTGAACAATAAGCAAAGTTCACTCATACTGAAACTCATATTGAAACACAGGCTGCCCAAAAGATAGGAATGGTTTGTGTTGTTGTTGTTGGTTGTGGGACTTGAACTCTGGGCCTGGGTGCTGCCCCTCATCTCTTCAATCAAGACTAGTGCTCTACCACTTACCACAACGCCATTTCCGGTTTTCTGGTAGTTTATTGGAGATAAGAGTCTCATAGACTGTCCTGCCTGGGCTGGCTTTGAACCACGATCCTCAGATCTCAGCCTCTTGAGTAACTAGGATGACAGGTGTGAGCCACAGGTGTCTGGCTAGGAATGATTTTGATGGTTGTGTGTACAGGAAAGTTTTGAAATACAAAGAAGCAACTTCAATGCCCATCATATATTAAAATTTGCTCTGTGAAACCTCCTAGATAGACAATATTATGTTAGTTAAATATCATGTTAGTGCCTCTGGGTTTAATGGAAGTGGAGCTCATGGAAACTCGATGGGCTAGGCCTTTTAGTTCTGTGGATATACTTGATCACCTGCAAATGGTACTTGAAGCATCCAATGGCAAAAGCACTTGTATATTCCAAGCAGGTTGAAAATTCATTATGCATCTTAATACATTTTAAAAAGGTGTTTTTGGGTTTTCCCTTAAAAAAAATAAAACAGTCTCTTAATGGTTTCTGGCTCCAAGGTAATAAACCATATAATGTGTTCACTTGCATACATTTGTCTAAGTGCTTTTTTTTTTCTTCTTCTGTCTAGGATATTTTAACATTTGTGCCAAGATAATCTAAAAGATTTTGGTTTGCTATCTATGCACCATCTGTGTAATTTAAGTTAATTTATACAGAAAAGCTTCTAAAATCATCCATTATAAATATTGAATGCTTATGTTCTTTAACTGGGGGGGAATTTATACTAGAAAAGATTTTAATGGGAGAAAAACAAATGTGTGTGTGTGTGTGTGTGTGTGTGTGTGTGTGTGTGTGTGCCTAAAACAGAGATGGGAAGTAATTTCCAGTCACAACTCAAGTATAGGATAAAACCTTTTTCTTGATACTGGGATCACTTTCCCCTCAAAAGAATATTTTAAGAACTAGTATTTTATAAAGTGCCCCCCAAGACCTTTTTTTCTTATAAGCTTAACTCATACATGAAGAATTTACAATCCTAAAGTATTATGTGTGCTAAGGTGTTCATATTTGCTTTCCTTTTCACTTTTTTCCTAAAAGAGAAATAACCCATATGCATACCATCTTCTAGCCTTTAATTATTCAAATGATTGAAATGGATCATTGGGGCAGATGGGTTGCTTCTCACTGTAAGTTTAACGCATCAGTAAGAACAAGCTGGGCATGTTGACACACAGTCACGAGCCCAAAGCAAAGGGGTTTGAAGCCAGCCTGAGCTTCATAGTGACACTCCATCTTCTCCATTCCCCGAAGTGGCATATTCAAACTATCAAAACTCAGCTAAAAGTGTCACAACTGAAGGGCAATTTTAGAGTATCTGGAGTCCATAATCAAGTCCTATGCTAAACCTGAGTTTGTTGAAAGCACACATTCTGTTGGGCCAGAGACTAGGAGCAACCCTCGCATTAACTACTTCTGAGTCTTAAAGGTCATATAAAACTGTTTGGCGCGGGGAGAGTTTCAGAAGCTAGGGATCACATTCCCTTGCCACTTGTGGTGCTAAGATTTTAATGGCAATGTCAAATTGCCATCCTCGTCATCGGTCAAGAGGCATGGTATTCACAACCTGCTCTGTTCAGTGGCAACTCCTTTGTGCAACTACTTCAATATTAAAAAACGAAACCAAACCATTAACCTCCCCCCAAATCGTAATGGCTGAAATAATCTTAAAATCCACACTACGTTGTCCTCATGAGCTGCAGGGTCCGCATCGCCACGGTGCTCATGTGTGCATGGAGCTGGATTTCTCTAACACCGGAGTCTCAGCTGGCAGAGGAGGCTGGGAAGCTCTTTTGACACCTTAGAAGCTGCATTAGCTCACAGGCAAGTGGTTCTTGTTTTCACGCCTAGCGAGTTAACAGGGCCTACAAACACGGCTATCCATAGCCTTCCCCAGGCCTGTGACAGAAGACACTTTCAGCTCCTAAGTCAGAGGCTGCCTGTGGGGGTTGCCACCAATGACGAGAAATTCAAAGGGTTTCTAAAGAAAAAAAAAAGATAACAGAAGTCTTATTGATTTTAGTCCATCCTGGATGCCCATTAATGATGGTTATCTGGGTCCATGGTCTATGAAATCAATCTCAATTAGTGCAAGTCTTGTTTTTGGTAATAGCCACCAGATCTGAAAATATCACAACGATACCTGGGGAAAACTTCCACTGGATGCTTCTAGTCTCGCAAAAGTGGCATTTAAAGCATGTATAAACTGACAAGTTGGTTTTTATCTTTTTCTTTTTAAAAAATTTAATTATTATTTTTTGCACCATTATTGGGACTTGAGTTCAGTGTCTCGCTCTCTTGCTTGGCTTCTTGATCACAGCCGGCACTTTACCACCTGAACTTTCAAATATTAATTTTGTTAAGAATAGTTTTAGGTTCACTGCACAATCAAGATGAAGGTATAAAATGTTTCTCCAATCACCTCCCCTTCCACATATGAACAGGCTTTGTCATTATACACATCTTCCACTACACTGCTACAGTTATTATAATCAGTGAAACTATACTGGCACACCATTAGCAACCAGAGTTCATGGTTTGTATTAGCATTCACTCTTGTTTGTCTCTTCAGAATGTCTCTCTTTGTTACCATGACATGTCTCATTCATGGAATCAAATGCAGGATACATTAGATCCATCATCCTGCACTGCTCTGAACCAGTTTTAGAAATTTTAAAAGTCGTAAGATTGGTAGTAAATTTAAAACACAAAGATTGGAAGTGTTTATCATCATGGAAATTTGAGATGAGCTATTTTCTTTGGTTGTTTAAAGGCCCTTACAATCAATTCTGCCCCTGTCCTTACGGCCTGGTGTTTCCGGCATTTCATTCTGCATTTCTTTCATCATTACTTTATTTTACTGCTGTAAGTTTATTGTCATCATGTAGTTGTACAAAGGGGTTAAAATTCGACATGGCGGCTTAGGAGCACAGAGCATTTTGATCAATGTCATTTCTTTTCTCATTCTCCTTCACCCAAACTCACTCATCCCCTCAGTTTACCTGCCACACAACTATACATTGAATATTATGCCTACATTCTGCCACCTTTCCTCTCCTAATTTGTCCACCTTCTTCCTCTTGACCTTACTTCTTCCAACGACAACTCAAGGAACCAGTTTCCTGGTATTCATTTTGCTGGACTGTAAATTCCTTGTTTAAAGGAGCTGCACCATTAGAATTCTCCCTCCTATATACCAAACTTTAGGTAATACAGTTTTCATATGTGCATATGACCCTGTATATGTCTAACTGTATATGTTAGAACTTTCACATATGAGAGAAAACATGCATCTTTTATTATCATTATTTTACAGATTTTGTGTCAGATTTTAGTTAGGTATTTTTATACTACTGTA